GTATAAAATCACATTTTTCCAAAAAAACATTGTGGGATCATTTCTGGTCGGATTTTAATCAACTTGGTACCATTAAAATCAGAATTTTCAATTTTTTTATTTGTTTTTTGGGTTAAATTTTTTGTTATAAAGAGTTATCTTTTTCTGATGATTTAAACACTGACTTTTTTGCTGATAATTTGCTTAACATCTCATTTAATAGTTATCAGTGTGTTTACTTCATCAGAAAATAAAATTATAAAAAACAAAAAAACTGAAGACAAAACAATAACAAGAAAAAAAAAGTTCAAACAATCCTGAATTTTTCAACACCTGGTTTGCAAATAAATTAAAAAAATACCTTTACAACATTTAAAAAGAATTTGTTACTATATATATACTACAATATTAATTTTCGCGAACCATTTAGGTCACAGAAATTCCAAAAAATGGCATCAGTAAGGAGAGTTGTACAAATGATGTGAATACACAGAACCCGGATCCAAATTATCTTTTACTAAAAGTATTCATCATTTTCTGTTTTGTATGTACTAACAACATTTCATTTTTCTACAATTTCGATTAAAATATTATAAAACCTGCAGTTCAATAGGTCACATGCCCCAAATAAACATTCCCCGATTGGTCGAACTACTGTGGCCTCGGTGTAAAGCAACGCAAGCCTCGATGTAAAGATCAAGCTTCCAAAAATAGAGGTATGTCCCAACTTAACATTCCCCGATTGGTTGAATTGCTGCTCGATGTAAAGCAACGGAAGCCTTGATGCAATGAAGAAAAGGGGTTGACAGGATAAACGTAATCGTTATAAATTTTAACTTCAGGGTTCTTATGCAAGCAAATTTAATAAACAATGATTTTATACAGTTGTGTTATTGTTTTCACCTTACATAGGGCTTTATTTCTGATCTTATTTCTGTGTACACAATTCTGAATCTACATATTTCACCTACCTATATCAATATTAGGTAATCCGTTTCGACGATTCCATATACTATTATGTTTTAGGTTTTTTTAGCTTCAGTGTCGAGTTCAACTTGGTGTATAGTATTGAGGGCTATCTGCGAGAAATAAATCCTTTTTTCTGATAGATTAACTAAATTCAAAACCAATATAAAAATAGTTAACACATATATTTTATTTAACTGAGTAAATTGATCGGAATGTGAATGATACATAAACCTAAAATTCGTTTTGGTCTATCCCAGTGATGACATTTGCGCGGGAATTTAGTCCATTGACATCGTAATATAACTTACTTTGGATTATAATTATCTTTAGATGTAATGTTACAGGATTTAATGTGAAATCATTTGTCTCTTCTTTTATAGTACACGAGTTTGACGTCAGGTTTGTACACATGAAGTCTCTACTGACTCTAGACTCTAGTCTAAAAAAAGCCAGTGACAGAACGATAAACAGATAAGCAACTGTCTAGGCCAGGGCCAAGTAAGGGAGGTGAAAAAGCCAGTATTACGCAGAACGATAAACAGTTACATAGACGGATCCTAGGGGTGAGGAAAATTTGGTTGATTTTATAGGGAAGCAGGGGCGGATTCAGCCATTTTATAAAAGGGGTTCCCAACTCGGGACAAAGGGTGGGGTGTTCCAACTAAGTGTCCCCATTCAAATGCATTGATCGTCCAAAAAAGGGGAAGCATGACGGGAGTGGGCAACCCTTGGGTCAGTCAGCGGCCACCCCCTTTTTATGAAAAGTTGTGGATCCGCCACTGAGATTTATATAAGCAGGTTTTCTTTGTGTAGATACCTTAAAATATCACCAACTGTGACTGAGTACACAATTTGATTCATTTTAGCTCATTAGCTGGGCTCACTCCCTAAAAAGGTTCATTGCGGGCCTGCTCACTGGCTAACATTTTACGATATTCATGACTCGTGTAGAAAAGCCGATAATCTATACATGTGTGTGAGGAGTAGTTATCAAGCTTGCTTTCGTCTGTAAAAACTGTCTTAGGCCAAGTTAGGGAGTTGAAAAATCCAGTAATAGAACGATAAACAGATGATCAGGTTTTCTTCATATAGATCCCTTAAAATATCCCCCACTGAGGATCCAATTTGATTCATTTTAGCTCATTAGCTGCGCTCACTCGCCATAATAGGTTCATTGCGGCTTACTGGCTAATATGTGTTGAAAAGCTGATAACCTATACATACATGTACATGTATATGGTCAGATCATATGTTTTCGTACGTCATATGAATTTGTACTATGCATGCCTTTTCAATGGAAATTGTGACGACAGTATGCATTCTTAATAGCACGAAAAACGATGAGAAGAGGATACATATGTCAACCAAAATTTTTCAGCAACGTCAAAATATTTGAGGACACCCTATCAAGATCTATTAAGCTTGTGTTCATGTTGCTTTACAACTGTTTTAGGAAGGTGAAAAATACCAACAATATAACAATAAATAGATAATCGATATTGTAAAATATCAATGTGTTGAAAAGCCAATGATCTACATATATACTTAAATATGTCAACCATAAAATAAAACTGATTTAATTTACACCACAACTGTTGAAAAAACCTTTATGTTTATATAACTTATCTCATTTTGTCCATTCAACTGACAGAATCGGTGTACATTTCATGAACTCTTTAATAACAATAATCATCATGGACTATTCTTTATAGAAATATCTGTTAGCCATTTAGGGTTCTTTTGCATTCAAAGTTTAGTTTTAGTGGGTTTATTTTGTGAAAAAGAACTCAATTTCCAGATCAAAGTTAACATTTTCTATATATTTTGCTGTGTCAAAATGACCTAATGAATATAAAGGACAGTACCCATATAGACCCAGAAATGGTATATCACATTCTACACATGACATTTTAGCAGGAAAGACTGCCATTGGAGTATATAACTTTTAACCTGTGTATATATAATTAAAATATGATAATAAAATTCATGTCTTTTTCAGGACTATTGATCGAACCATGTAGTATGGCATGTTTATGAGATATGGTTTTGGTGGATAGGATGTTCATGAAGGACCTGTAGTACAAAGTATATCACTGGATTGAGCTCTTTGTCTAAGTGTATTATTGAAGTGCTTTGCTTTGAGCTCAGTTCATTGTTATGCAATTCATTCTTTGTGAAATAAAGATTTGACAGACAACTCTCATGTACAAGGATTTGTCAGGGTAGTATCCATTCTATGTACAATGTAAGTAATAAGGAGATAAAAGCATTTTATTATGATTTGAACCAAACATTTTTTGTCTATTAACCAAATTTTAAAAAAACAAATTTACCCGACAATGCTACACTCGCTACTAGCAATATGATGCTAGGTTGTTTTAATACATCTGTACTGGCTACTGATGACTCGGTCCTGAGTGTAAATGGTCATTCAGTATGTTAAAAAAAAAAAAATTTATAAGGCCTATCTGGCCTAATCGATTTCTAAAACTATATTTCATTGTACATGTTCAACATTTTTCATTCATTTGTTTATTTCTTAATTTGTGTGAATTAACATTGTTACAGTAAATGTTAATTACTGCACTTTCATACCACAACAAATACAGTATTGGTATCACTTATATTTGTATCCATATAACAAAAAAAAATTGAAAAGAGAATAATTTTGCAATACCTTTTTCATATTGAATACTGTAACTTTTTTGATATTTAGACATATTAAGTAGATTTTCATAATACCCACTTGACATGCTTGAAATTCTATCAGATTACTTTTGGAGCAGTTATGAGTCTTTGAAGCATGCTCACACAGGTTTTTTTGTTGATATCGTTTTCATATTGGTCAAAACTTTTTTTTGCTTGGGCCAGCTTTGGAGGAGATGTTATCAAAGAATTGATAAAAAACAACACAGAAGTTTACTTTCTAGCTCATCTAGCCCCAATCATCATGTCAGGCATTGTCATTACTAAAAACCAATAAATGCCTTCTAATCTGAGAAACAATTTCGACATTTTAACAAAAAATATTTTACCTGTGATACTGACAATCCACCACAAAGTAATATAAATAGAACCATACAAATAGTGAGCAAATACATATAAAAAAGATGTGGTATGATTGCCAATGACACAATTCTCCACAACATACCAAAATGACACAGAAATTAACAACTACGGGTCACCGTACAGCCTTCAACAATGAGCAAAGCCCATAACGCATAGTCATTTATGTTATTTATGTACACAAAATAAACGAAAAACAAATATTATGTAACACATAGACAAACGACAACCACTGAATTACAGCCTCCTCATATCATGTTCTCAGATATCATCTCCCATTTAAAAAAAAATCACATGAAAAAATGAACCTATTCTGTGTTGCTCTCCTAGCTACAAAATGTATCCAAAATCAAAGATGTGGAAAATATTCTATCATAATCATTTGGTCATTAATGCAATTAGTGTCTCTTCCATGCCCTCTTGAACATAAAATCTAAATTGTACATGTACATGTAAACAGGGGAACAACAATAGTGTTAAAATAAGGCTAATTTTACCTCTTTATTGATGTGTGTAATGTAGAAAATAGTATCAAGCATTGAGCAATTAACACTACTACAGCGATGCATATTTTTTTTATTGTATAATGTAAATAAAACTGAAATATTTTGCTTGAAATAATTGTGGCTTTGTCCAGTGGATATATGGAAATTATGATGGTAACATACATTTTGTTCAGATATTTCGTACAACACACATAAATTATAGGTAATGTAAAATCTCCTATTGTGTACAAATTAAAGTGTGTTAGAATATTAGATGAAAGAATTCTTGTAATACTATCATGACTATTAGAACATTAGAACAAAAATTAAACGACCAATCAGTTAGTAGCTGTTATTACACATGTTACATTTTATTTATTTATTTCAGTACACTGAGGTACCATATTTAGGAAGCATTTCGACTGTCAAGGGTTTTCTACGTCTTGTCTTCACTTTACCGACAAGACGTAGAAAACCCTTGACAGTCAAAAGTGACACAGAGATAGATGAAGCAGTGTAAAAAATACCAGTAAAGTTGCTAAAAGGTAAAATATATTATTATTTAAATGTATACTAAAAATCAAAAGTACTAGTACATGTTGTATGGTTGCAAAAGACGGTGGAAAGATGCGAAAGAGTTTTCAAAACATAATTTCAAAATAAACTGACAGCGACACGAAAAAAAAAAAGTTCTAAAGACAACTGCTCACAAAACACAACATAGAAAACTAAAGAAGAGCAACACCAACCCCACCAAAAACTGGGTTTGAACTCAGGTGCTCTTGCAGGGTAAGCAGATCCTGTTCCACATGTGCCACCCATCATGTTGCTCTTGTTACTTCAAACCAACTGAGTGTAATTAAGTAGGTTACATTTGAGAAAAAAAGGATTAGCATTAACTAGAAAAACAGTCTTTTGGATGAAAAGACCTAAAACTATACAATAAAGTTTCAATAAATTTGATGACAATTTTCATATTCCTCAGGTGTTTAAAAGTTTCATGTTAAATCCATTGCATATGTTTCATTTTTATACGACCGCAAAAAATTTTTGCTGTCGTATATTGGTATGACGTCGTCGTCCGAAGACACATTGGTTTTTCGAACAATAACTTTAGTTTAAGAGAATGGATCTCTATGAAGTTTTACTATAAGATTCAATACAACAAAAGGAAGGTTGGGATTGATTTTGGGGGTTATGGTACCAACAGTTAAGGAATTAGGGGCCAAAGATAAGCATTTTTGTAACTTCCAGACAATAACTTGTGTCTTAGTGTATGGATCTCTCTGACATTGTACCACAAGGTAACATATCACAAAGGGAATGCTAGGATTTTAGGGGTAATTGCCTCAAAATTTTAGGAATTAGGGGCCAAAAAAGGGGCAAAAAACAAGCATTTTTCTAGTTTCATGACAATAACTTGTGTGTAAGTGTATGGATCTTTCTGAAATTGTACTACAAGGTTCCATACCACAAAGGGAAAGCTGGAATTGAGTTTGGGGGTAATTGCCCAATACGTTTAGGAATAACGGGCCAAAAAGGGGCAAAAGATAAGCATTTTTCTAGTTTCCAGACAATAACTTGTGTTCAATGTATGGATCTCTCTGAAATTGTACTACAAGGTACCATACCACAAAGGAAATGCTGGGATTGAGTTTGGGGATGATGAATCATAAGGGGGTTAAAAAAAATGTGGGGAGGGGTATTTTTTTTCCTTTTTTTTTTCTTTAAAATTTTCCATTTTAAGTTGGTTATTTCTGATTCATATATAAAAGCAAATAATAATGATATGGTTTGAATAGGTAAATTAAAATTTTTTAAGTTCTTAGACCACATTCATTTTGTGTCAGAAACCTATGCTGTGTCAAATATTTAATCACAATCCAAATTCAGAGCTGTTTCAATATTGCATGTTGTGTCCATACTTGCCCCAACTGTTCAGGGTTCGACCTCTGCAGTCGTATCAAGCTGCGCCCAGCGGAGCAATTTATTAAATTTTCTATGTGATCTTTATGGCCTACACAAATTGAAGTTGTCCCTAATCAGCGTTTACACATATAAATGTTGATTTATTATAAAAAAAAAAACAATATATTAATTCTTTTATAAAATTACAATAAAAAAAAATGCAACCATCCCATTTACTTGGATAATTAAAATTGTTATTAAACTTGTTATTGAAGTTTATAAATAATTAATTGTTCTTTTGTTTTCAGATCAAAACGCAAATGTTCTGGACCAAAATTTGTTGGGAAAGAAATATTACATGAATGGGTGGAGGAAAACAACAACAGAAAGTGGTATACAGGCAGGGTAATTTCTGTTATCAAGAATAAAGATGGAGACAAAGATGCTGTATATGAAGTTTTATATGAAGACTGTGATGAACCTTATGAAATTGATCATTTGCTAGAGGATTTTACAAATTCCTCTTTGAAATTGATTGATTTATAGATGTAAGTACAATATGATAATTTAATGTGCAGCAATAGCTTGATAAGGATGCTTTCCTTACAAATAATTTAATTATACAACAACACTTCAAAAATAAGGTTGTCTGAGCTTGGTCTAGATAATCAAATACAATAATCCAAACAATGAAACAAGCAATATTTCAAATATAAAATTTATATGACATTGGTGGTATGATTGCCAAAGAGAACAATATAATCAAGAAACAAAAAGCTGTTGATTCAAACAAATTATGTTCAATGTATGGCCTTTTGCATGGAACAAATGCACATAATTCATAATGTTTTGCTATCTGTTGGTATACATACTAAATACATTTAGTATGTAAAAAGGGAGGTAATAAGCATTAAAAATTTTATTTATATTTTTTTAACAAAAAACAGATATTTTCTTTATCTACTGATGAAGTTAATTGATTTGGTACAATAAGGTTCAATTTTAATCACCCACCATGGTAACTTTCTAACTTCATTTATATTATATAACATTTAACCATTCATTGAGTTTTTGAAAACATGCTTTCCATACTTTTCCCAAAAGTATTTCCAAAATGGAAGATTTCATATATTTTTTTCAAATGAAAACCAAACACTAACATTAGAATTTAATTGAAATCTTGCAATTAATGCATTAAATATCATTGGTAGCACATAGATATAGTTACAAAGAATGTTTTTTTTTAATTTTTCATAGTTTTAGAAGACAGAATATATACAGGGCATTTTTTCTACAAAAGGACTTACATTTGGTATTATATTTCTTTTATTTGACATTTAATATTTAAATCAATGTAACACTATTATAGTAATGACCATGATGAACACAATGATATGTTATAAGTCATAAATTGTTTGGCAGAAATATTTTTAAATGTTTTTTTTTTATTTTTTCAAAAGTTTGTTATGATGAACCTTAACCAAATGTTATGAAACTTACACATAATGCTTATTACCACAAAACACAGATCAAGTTTGAATTTTGGTAGCGTCATATTTACCATTCTAAAGTTATGCCCCTTTACAAATGGAAAAATTGCTAATTTTTTCGTTTCCGTTCTCTAACTTCAGTTTGCCTCAACCAAATATTATGAAACTTATACACAATGCTTATTACCACATACTCAGATCAAGTTTGAATTTGGGTGGTGTCACTTCTACCGTTCTAGAGTTATGCCCCTTTACAAATGGAAAAATTGCTGAATTTTTCGTTTCTTTTCTCTTACTTTAGTTTGCCTCAACTAAATGTTATGAAACGTATACACAATGATTATTACCACAAAGCTCTGATCAAGTACAAATTTGGGTAGCAATTTTTTTACAGTTCCTAAGTTATGTCCCTTTACAACTTTATGTGCACGCGGGGGCATCATCTGTGTCCCATGGACACATTCCCCATTTATTTTTTTATTAAAATCGAACGAAGTTTAATCTTGAACCCAATTCGAAAACCAGGCATAAAATTTAAATTCACAGTTAAAATCAGTATATCAAATAACCCCAAGAATTCAGTTTTGGAAGAAATCAAATAAAGTTTAATTTTGGAACTAAAGGTGGACCAATTCAAAAACGGGCACATATTCCAAAATCAAAGTACACAGTTAGATTCAACACATAAAATAACCTAAGAAATCAAGACTTTTGAAAAGTATTGTTTTTTACTCCTTTTCTCTAAAAATTAGGACCATAACCTCCAAAATCAATCCCAACCTTCCTTTTTTTTGGGTATAGAACCTTTTGATAAAATTCCATAGAGGTCCGTACAATTATTGTCTGGAAACTAAATGTCTTCCGACGAGGACGAGGCTGACAACGTTATAACATTATACGAACGCAAATACTTTTCGGTCGTATAAAAAGGTAGTGCCTCATCTACGTAATCATTTATGAAATTTCCAGAATTACATGATGAATGTATATACCATCTTATTTGCAAGGACAGAGTATCTACATGTTGATGTCTTAAGTTGTTGGGTTCACTTCTAATTGTCTCCTATACACAGATTTCCTTTATTCCTGTACGAAGCACTTTAAAATTACATCGTCCTGAACATGCATGAAATAATTGCCAATGGACATCAAGCAATCATCAATCAATCAATTCCCAAAACTACGCGTAGCTCATAATTAGCATTAAATGATTTTGCCGCTACATCCGGTTTTGCTGACAATACTAGTCTTTTTTATATACTACGTGGAATTTATAATTAGAATTATAAAACCAATATAATCAAATATAATAATGTAAAATTAATTTTCTTTTAAGAATTGCAACTCCAGGAAAAGGATTGTCAGTAAAGTACGATATGTGTTGGCAGAAGCGAGGATCATGTCGCTCGTACAGTAGTTCGTCGGGCGTTGGAACAGCAATTGGTCAGGTTACTGGGAAAATGTTAGATTATGACCTTCGTGTTACACAGTGCGCCATATGTCACAGTGCTGAGAAAGCCAAAATAGACGCAAAACCGCACAACTGTCAAACGAATTAGACAAAAAGCGCAAAAGCCATGGAATCGTCAACAGGAGCATCCCTGATGGAAAATATTGAAGAAGTGTCTGGGGTTCCTGTTGATGTGCTCATTATGGATGATGATGCAGCTACTTTGTCTAGGGTAAAAGAAGCTTTGGACCACGAGGTAAAAAAAAATGGAGCGATATCAATCCTTCAACAAAATCACTCAGTAATGCTTTTTATATTTTGAAATCTAAGCACAAAACACTAAGTACAGATATTATAGAATATTACAAAATGTGTTTTTCATATGCTATTCAACAAAATAAAAACAATGAAACTAAGCTCAAAGAAACATTGACAGCAATTGTTCCACATTCATTCTGTAATCATGACATGTGGCAATTGGTGCAATAAAAGCATTGAAAATAATTTTCATAAATATCTCCCTAGTGGTAAACCGACAAGACGTCCAAATCATATTTGACATGGTAGCTAACAATGCTGAACGGCTAGTACCGGCTGGATCCACAAAGGATGTTGAATCTACAAATAATATGTATGCATCAAAAGCACCAAAACGGTTTTGTTTCAGTAAAAGTGAAAATCTGAAAACACGGGTGAGTGCTGCAGTGTTGCAAAAAACATAGGATATTCTTATATTTCATGCATAAATACACAAGCTAACCTATTAACTGATGAAATCACTAATAAACATTCTGAAAAATTGCCAAAAGAGAGAAAACGGAAACGGAAGTATTCCCGGCAACCAGTTGTAAAAAAGAGGCGTTTAGAAAAGAAGAAATTTAGAAATAAATTAATACAGACAGAAAAAAAAGAGGGTGGTATATCGTGTTGTATTTTTGTGTTGTTGTTGTGGTATCTAATAACCCGACAATTGTAATGCACTTTGGCACAATCTAGGGGAGGCTCACGGTAGGAGGCCGGAATAACAACAGGAAAGAAAACCAAACTAGAATATCAAGAAACTCGCTATTAATGTTATAGCGGCTTGATTACTTTATATACTACTTTCTGCGTGTCATAGTGACCCTTAATCTATTATTCTTAATGTGTAATTTCTAACCCAAATAAATAAGAATGCCTAAATATAGTTAACATAATGAAAATTGTTGACGTAGGTTGACCATATTGACCATTGTCCATAGTTTATGACATGATTTGTAAACCCTTATCAAACAAAATTAAGTAATATCTGTACTATCAGAAAGTTAATTTGACCAACGTGAAGTTTACTTGATTTAAAAACCTATTTGCTGTTTCCCACACTCACAAATTGAACATGAAAGTTTGGCTTTTAAAGTATATAGCAGTTAAACAATAGTTGCTTATATAATATTTTTCACAGTAGATTTTACATGTATTAATTAGTAAACTATATGAAATCAAATAAACTGCATTTTTCTATTACAATAATCGCTCTCCCTTTGAAAAGGAGATTGTTCCACCAATCTAAATTCACCAACACAAAGAAATAACACACAATAATAAAACAATATTTTTTTTTTCTTGTTACTATTTTTTTTTCATATATGCAATAAAATACACAATGAAAAATAAAACATATATAGTATATAGTACAATTAAATTCATATATATATATATAATAATGAATAACATAAATTGATGGTCTTTAAATATTTACAGATGTACATAAAAAATACTTAATTAAATGACTCTGTTGAAACAAAGGATCATCGTAATGTAAATGTCACTCAATTAAGATCCAGTTAACTTTTATTTACGTTAACGATTTTCCCTTACATGACGAAACAAGGGATATAATTTTCCTCCTTGAAAGGAGCAAGTGGGTCATACCACATTAAATTCCTTCTATAATTTATACATGTATTACAATGGCAGCGAGCTAATGTTTTTAATTTGTACTCGTGGAAGTTCTTCGCGTTTCTATACGCGCTCTTGAATTTATGGTAGGCGATTTGGGGATTATCTAATAATGTAAGGGGGAGTCTACCTTAAATGGCCCAATATTTTGCAATATTTGGAAAATTAAATTTTAATAAACGATGAATAAATGGTAAATATAATTCGGCATTATAAATTGAAATTATAGAACTTGGTAATAATAATTTAAAGTTCTCTTCATATATATTTAGAAGTGCTACTAGGGGTAAGATTTTAAATAGAATGTCTTATCGACAGGAATATTTATATTATGGGAAATTTTTTGTTTAAAAATGTGAAAAAATACTATCATCAAACATGGAATAATCTACCTTGGTTTCATTAAAACGTAGTAAAGAATAAAAATATTCAGCTAAATTTATAAATTTGTTATCTTCATGAGTTAAAATGATAGTTGTAGTAACTGTTGTAAATTTACAAAGAATTTCCATATTTAACAAAAGTAGCTTTTTATTTATCTATATGATTTATGTAATTTTTCAAAATAGTCGATATATAAAGTAATAAATGGGGGTAAATCGTTTGGAATATCTATTTCTTGATTTTTTGAAATAGTATTTAAACAGGAAGATTGAAGACATGAATAGTCAAATGGATCGAAACTGTAAGATACTAAGTAATCAGTGGCTTCTAAACAATCTATATCGACATGGTTGTTTAGTAATTTATACCAGACTTGGGATGGCGAAAAGGTGTTTATGTCCTTTAGCTCTGGAAAATCTGAGGAATAGAAAAGAAATTATTAGTATAAGGTAGAAGGATATACAGTAGTCTTGCGGCTGTTTGTTTGACCTGGGGTATCAATATTTGTCGTGAGCATATTGACATTGTCAATTGGACATTTAATATTATGATGAGATATAAACAGAGAAAGGGTGTTTAAGTATTGACCTTAGTGCGCATGCTTGTAAAATGTTCAGATCGATAATTTCAGGTACATAAATGGAATGGGAAGTATTTTTATTTCGAACTGTAAAATTTGGATTCGAAATGTGTAATTTAGGTCTGGTGTAATTTACAACAGTTAAATTATCAATAATGTTTGGATATTGAACATCCCAGTATGTTGGACATAAAGGCATTGAAAAAATTGGAATGCAAACACAATCAAAACCTGTTGTTATTTCTAAACATAATTTAGTATTCATGTTTGTTCTTTTGAAGGATTTAACTACCAAAATAACGGTCATTAAAAAGGAAATAAAAAGCTAATGTAAAAACAGCATGATTCCAAGTTATATTGGAATTTTTACATTGATCCATGTAGTAGGTGCTTGAGTTGTGGAAGGTTCAAATTTAAAATTTGGTAGTGTAGTAGC